ATAATGGTGTTTCTCAACATTGGAATGCCCCAAGACACTTTATGTTCCACTACAAACGACCTATGTTTGATGATTTTGGGGTCGGAAAACACTCGTAGAAACCTCTGCCAGAAGTGCGGACTCAGCGACGGTCCTCTTCAAATGTGCACTTCGCATTGCGAAGGTCAAATGTGAACATCTGATCCAACATGTGCTTGTGCCCTTGCAGTTTATGGAAACAAAATGCCGCATAGAGGAAACCTCATGTGGCAATGGTTTCAACTTGCAAACCCCTCACAGCAAACAAGTGATGTATGTGTATACATATCATTACATATCTGTAGATACTTGGATGAGGACGCGCTCCTGTCTGAAACTTGCATGCGCCCTCTGTTCAAATATGCTCCAATGGCATTTAGATGTCAACCCTGGTCATGTTTCGAGCCTAGAGGTGCAACAGGTACCAAAAGAAGAGAGGAAAAGAGGAAAGCTAGAGGAAAGAAAGACGCAAGAAAGAGGAAAGAAGAGAAAAGAAAGGAAGAGAGGATGAGGGGAAGATAGGAAGAGAAGAAAAGAGGAAGACAGGAAAGGGTAGGAAAAGAGGTACTCTCAGAACTTGAGAATTTGTGGCTGACGGGCCAGGGCGCGGAGCTAGCGGGCGGGTAGCGCGGATCTTCGCACCGGGATTCAAAAAACGTATAAAAACGTGTGGAATATGTTGACAAGGACAAGAACTGTCAGAAACATAGAAAGTTAGCTTTAGAACAGACAATAAATCCCAATAAATTGCAAAACGCCCTAGAATTGACCCAAATAACGACGACAAAAATAACAAAAAACACTACTACATACATCATTGACATGATCCCAGTTGTTCAAATTTGCCGAGTTTACACGTTCAATTTCTAACCTGGCGGGTTATGTTTAACTATGAATTTCATACTTCCCGGGAATGTTAAAGGCTTAAAATTTAACTTAAAATGCTAGCACGATGCTAGCCGCAACCTAGCCCCTAGGTGCAGACATACGGTAATTAGGCGGGAACCCACTGCCCGATGGTTTTTTTACGACTGACCCTTTGGCCCGGAACGCTTAAAACGTGCGTTCCGAACGTGTTTTCCAGAACGCACTGGAACCGTTAATTCTCTCTGTTTGGGGAGCGTCATGGAACGCATCCCCTGCCTGACTGCCACTGTCAATATCTAAATGGGATCACTATCTGCTTTTTGCTGGGATTGGACAAGACAGATGGGTCATGGTCATGGACTGCACCATCAAAATCATGTTTAACCACACAAGAAAAGAAAACCATTGGACGTTAAAGTGCGGGCTTCTCCTGCCCCAGTGCCACTGTCATTGTTTTGATTTGGGGATCGTCTCATGGTCATCGAACGCACCCCAAAAATCATACTGGAAACCAGAAACAATACAGAAAAAGTGAATGAACATTCAAATCTGGGGTTCTCCCGCAAAACTGCCACAATCACTGTCTAAATGTAGTTGCTATCTGTTTTTTCCGGAAAAGCAAATGGGCCAATTTGTTGAACATGCCTCTGCTTGTGGTGTTTTTTGGCAACAGGAAATGCGCCAACTCGCTAAACAAACAATAGGTTATATAGAACGTTCTGCTTTCGAGAACGTATCGCTTGAGAACGCACCGTCAGCAACGTACCCCAGGATCGAACAAAACGTGCCGCATGTTGGATGGGTCATGTTATTCCAACAATATGTGCTGTATATATGTATATATCTATATATATATATATAGTGATCCTAAAAAAGATAGAATATAAAATTGGAGGGTGCGGGGATTTATGATATTCATGTTGGACTTATGTTGGAGTTTGGCCAAGTCAAAAATTGAACTAGTTGGAATATTTGACCAGATTAGACACCCTCGGAAGAGGTCGAAAACAGGTAGCTGGATATGGCTTCAGGATGTCAAAGACCAGCCCTAGATCAGTAGGGTCTAGATCAGTAGGTTTTTTTATAGGGTCTAGATCAGTAGGGTTTAAAAATCTATATAAGAGCTTTAGTATTGCCTTGATTCCCCAAAAGTCAGAAAGAAGATGTTTCCTGGAAAAAAAGAAGTTTTTGGAAACATTTGAGAAAATTTAGGGTAGGCAAAAGAATTTTAAAATTATCAAGTGATCAAGTGCCAAGTGCAGTGAAAGCATTCCAGCGATCAAGTGCCCAGGGCAGAAAGTTTGCCCATACCAGACCTCAGTCAATCAGGAAAATTAAGGCAATCACACTTAAGCAAAATGCAACTAAGTATTCAGCAATGTTGCAATGCTCAGAAACCAAACTCTTCATTCATCATTGGAATCATGCATGCTCTGGCACAAACATAGCAAAGGTTGCTGTGGCTCCCTCCATTGGTCAAGTGGCAAGGCTGGCACTGGCTGGCTAACACTTACTTGAGAAAATCAATTTCAGCACAGCAAATGAACAACAACCACCACCACAACAACAACAGCAACAATTCGCGAATTGATGACAAGTTACTCTTGCTAGTATACAGCTTTGTACATTAGGAATAAAAAGCACTTCCACAAGCAACACAAAAGCACTTGAATTTCAGGAACAATCTCAAGCCCCACCACCCTTCTCCAAAACAAAACATGCGTGGGCGCACCCTCTGGTTTCCAGCTGCAATCATCTGCTGCTCCAAGTCTTGCTCCAGCAAGTGATACAAGAAAAGGAAATAAGCAAAAAAAACATCTTGAAATCCTCTATCCAAGTATTAACATTGATATTGCCAAAATATTTTCCAAGGGGATTTGCAAAAGGCACTTGGTCAAGTGGCAAATGGCAAGTGGTTCCTACAAGAGAGTTTACCTACCCCAAATTTTCTCAAATGTTTCCAAAAACTTTTTTTTCAGGAAACATCTTCTTTCTGATTTCTGGGGAATGCTAAAAACCCTACTGATCTAAAACCCTACTGATCTAGGGCTGGTCTTCCGACATCCTGATGGTTTGGAGGGGTAGATGGAATATTTAGATATATGTTGTATCAATATCAAAATTGGTCCACCGAATCACCATCAAGCAACAGTGTACTTCAGGATCACTGGACAACATCTAGATTAAGATATGACTACAAAATAGGACATACGAGTATGTACAACATGTAGGTTAGGATATGACTACAAAATAGGACACACGAGTATGTACAAACATAAAAACATAATCTATCATATTATATAAATATAAATACACAGTACTCGAAAAACATAGACGTGCCTAAATTAAGCAGTACTGTACCAGGTCAGGAATTTTTGAGCTGTTAGGTTGCAAGGACATATGAATAGAATATGTCCAGAGGCATTTCATCAAAGGAAAAGGGAAGACAACTTAAAACATGAAAACGCGACGGTCCTGGACAATTCTTGTTTGGCTCAAACGGTTTCGCTGAAAACTCAAAATGCTCTCCACGAGCAAGGATCCCCTTGGGCAGCGAAATGGAAAGCAAAGCACGATATGGAATCTGCTGTGGGGTATGTTTGTGGCTTTTTTGTTTGCAATTTTTGGGAGAAATATTCCATCTACCTGGTTTGAAACAATAGTCTATTTAGTTGTTGATATTCCATCATTTTTTTCGGGTTCTTTGATTTTGGTGTTTTTTCAGCATTTTTTCTCCAGACTTGTGTCAAAAAATGTCTGAAAATGACTTTAAGAGGGACGTAAAACGTGGAAAAAATTGGGCTTTTGGAAATATTCCAACTATTTTTTGAAAATCAGGATTGAAAATGTCCGATATTCTATCTACTTCAGGATGATTATATGTTTACATAGTCTCAGCAGAAAAGACTGTGGGGAGTGTTTTCTTGAAAACTAAGAAGCCAAAGAGAACGTAGAGCGATAATGCCGCATCTTCCGAAGCTGACAGCAGGGCCACCACTGTATCAGCGCAGATCCAGAATAATGTCCTTGGCTCTGTGGGTCGGGGTGCCTTTCGGGGCGCCATGTTTACAAAGGAAGAAATATAATATACACAATGCAAAGTGAAGTGTACGTAATTTACATTAATTTACTGGGTGAAGATATTGAAGACCCAGAAAAACACGACACAAACTTGAGTTTGATCATCCCATTTTGGGGATGCTGCCCAATGTTGACAAAAAAACCTCTCTGAAATATCTCTGCAAGTGTTGTCTAAGCATCCAAAACGGCATCCACAAAGGTACTATTTTTGTTGCCCTGAGCGATGCTGCGGTCTTCACATGGATTGCCAATTCGTAGTTGCCTTTGGCCAGTGGTACTGGGTTTCAAAAATACAATTCATAGTGGTCAAAGAAACCCATGGAATCGTGGATGAGCATGGTCTGGAAAAAACCATCATAATCTATATATAATCATGTCCAGCATGCATGTTCTGTCCCACAAATGTCACCAAAAATGTTGATTCGCTTTTTGGGAAGCTGCACCATAACCTCTCGAAGTAGGTGTCGTCCCACAACACGAGCATCTTCTTTGATTGCGCCACAAAGCCCGGAATTGCTTGGATCGTCTGGAGCTTCAGACTTGCATTTTTCTGGTCCACGCAAATTCGATCAAACCAGAAGCATCGGCTGTCCCAAAGATGTCCCAGGAAATAAACCACCAGGAAGACCAAAAGGGGCCAAGCCATGATCGATGCATTCAGCAACCAGAGAGGCTGCTCAGCAATCCCCGTCAAACTGCCGGCCCGAAGCAAGAGACAAAGAACTGCCAACAGGCACGCGAAGAAAGAGGATGTCAAAGCCATGTCAAAGTTCAAGAACTTGGATTCGGTTTTGGTTAAGTCACTTTCTTCGAGGAATCCCCACCGTAGCACATGTTCTGACATACTATCTGACTGACACTTTATCTCAGACATATTTTGACCTTCTATCTGACAAATATTCAGACATTCTACCTGACATCTTTTCTGACGTACATATACTCTGACCTTTCTCTTGGCAGTCTTTCTGGCATCTTGTCTGGCATTCTATCTGACATCCTATCTTGCATTCTGTCTGACATTTTATCTGACATATCTGGCATTCTATCTGACATTCAATCTGAAACTATCTGACTTCCTGACACTTTGTTATGGGACATGTTAATCATATGGCATTCTTTCCAGCATTTGAGCTGGCATTCCACCTGATTTTTTGATCTGACATTCTATCTTGCATTCTATCTGGTCTTCTATTTCCCTTCTATCTCACATTTTCTAACATTTTCTCACATGTTTCCAACATTTCATCTGGCATATTGATGCATATTCTTCCGACCCAGGGAGCTGGTGGACCCTCACCGGCTAATCTGCTTGCAGGTTGAGCCACCCCACAAAAAAAAGGAATCGGGGATGATGCCCCAATTTTGAGGAAGCATATCTGAAAAAAAATCAGTGATCAGACAGGCGACGTGCGAAATGATCAAGGCTTTCATCCAGGGGGCACAAGACCACGAATGGCTGACAAAGAATTCCACATCGTACACTTGTGGTAAAGACTCGTAGGTTGAGTGTACCTTGTCCTTGCCGCTACAGTTGGCCTACACGCAGCGTTGCGCTGGCAAGAAGTTGAAATATGGGGGATTCAACCTTCGGCTGAATCCCCAATAATAATAAGGGATTGTTAAGGACTTGTTGACCACCCAAAACCACCACTAAGGAGATGAGGACGAGCCGCACCATGGGGGTTGCCAAGTCCTTTCTTTAAATAACATGGTAATCAAAACATCCAAAGCATAGGAAACTTTCATGTCCACATATGAAGCTCTGCGAAATTCTGAACCCGATCCATCTAAAAGTGCTCTTTCAGTGAGCTTTGCCAGTCGTTCTTGCGGCAAAAAATGAAAGGCATCCGTGAGACAAACCCGTCATGCCGTGTCTGGCAAGTCACCTTGTCACATGGCGATCTGGAGGATCCCCCATTTATGGACAATGACTTTCCCCAACCGTGGATTTTCCAGCTGTCATCGCCGTGTTTGATGACACCACTTTGGCAAAAATATGCAAAAATGTGTTTCGTCATCAAATTTAAGGAGTTTTCCAGCAAATTTTCGAATCTCTTCCATTTTTTCCCAAGGGCATCGCCTTTAGTAGGTGGTAGATCACCGTTGACGCAGTTGCAGCTCGAAAAAGGCCATGTTGCTGGGCCAAGGTCACCTGTCTTCGGACCGAATGCATCGCAGATCCCGCACCCGCGGTGGCAAAAAGGAGGGCTTCCGATGAAGGCGGTCGTCTCAAGCTCAAACAAAAACACATAATTATATATATATATACTGTGTAATATATATATATACATACATGGAGGGGAATCTTTGAATCATCCATCTTAAAATATTTTCCATCATAAACCTATCCATTTTGGGGTACCCCCATTTATGGAAAACTGTGTATATATTTTTTTTATACTCACTGTGCAAACGGACATACTTGAAGCCACCAACCATACCAACCTTTGCTATAAGGCATCAACCCCTTGGAGTTGCAAAAATGGCTGCTGCACGGGCACAGAATATACCGAGCTGCCAAAAATGTCCAGTGCTAGTTTTGGAAAAGTGGGCGTATCTGCATGGGTGTATCATTGCTTGTTTTAAGGCTCCGAATTCCAACGCCTTCAACGCATGGTGTCGCTGGCAGGTTACGGATGTTTTCCCGTGCTGGCGGTTTTTTTTGGAGTCCGACATATATTCATGCCCAAGGTCTTTCATGACGATCCTTTCCTACGGAACAGGAGGCACATGAAGAAACACTGAAAGACGTAAGCTGCAACTGCCAAATACATGGAGGACGTCGTGCTGAAAAACAGCATCTTACGAAGAGCAAGCTGTAGGTGATCATTGCACCAGATGATCAATGCACTCACGCATGTTCCTTGGGGCCACCACTTTCATCGGCGGTCAAAAGCGTAATCTGCAAACAAACAATTTACTCTCCACTATACAATGTAAGCTGGCAATGAAAAATCACCGATGTTTAGATGAATTCCCATTCCAAGTATTTCAAAATTGGGATGTTTTCCATTACGATGCTAAATTACCAGAGGGTAGTCAATTGACTGCCATCAGCTGCATTCCTTCAATTCGGGCATTTCACGAACAGCAAGTCTTACATCAGTTGATATCACATCCTTCGGGATAGTAAAGGGTCTTGTATTGTCATCAGGACGACCTACAAGGAGTGAGCTAAGCCAGCTAAGTGTCCAACAACGATTCTTACCAGCAACCATGTTCCATAGGCGCTGGCAACACCACAGTGCAACGCTGCAGCAACCACTTGGTTGGCGCGCCTTGGGGCATTGCAAATTGCGCGACCAAAATGACGCTGCGCATGTACCCACCTTCCATATTCAAAATCATAGCCCAAACAGCTATGGCTAGTGATGTTTCAGCCAAGCTGCAGTAGCAATGGATAAACTATGAGAAGCCCAAAGGGCAACAAGAGCAGCTGGAGCACTGCGTTTGTGATCATATACTGGTAGATTGAAGCATACCCCCCATCTGATGCTGATTTCTCACAGCTAGCACCATCGCAGCTCAGAACGCACATCAAGGATTGAAACCAAATGGGCAACGTTGCAACGATGCACATCTTCGGGGAGATGTAGTCCTCCGTTCCCAGAAATGCAACCAGATTCTGGCGCAGAGGGCCTCTGACATAATCATTGAACCTGGTTTCTGTCAGGGCCCCACAGCAACGATCTCCCCAAATGACTTCCCATGAGGAATCTAACAGGAAAGGATACCCAGCTCCCTGAAAACTACCATCGAACCCTATGAATTCTTTGGAAACTGTTATTTGATGTTATGTATATATATATATACGGTTATATATATATACGGTTATATATATATATATTACAGTATACAGTATATGTTTTTCCCGCGGAACTGGCTGTTCCTGGAGCTCTGTTTAAATCAGTCCTGATCTTGACCCGTAGCCATCAAGTCATAGGTATGTTTTTTGCCATGTATTGGTCTAGATATCCGCCGACCCCTGCCTAGCCTTGGCCTAGGCGGGGCGGCGCCTGGGACCACCGTAGGTGTGCAACCTTATTTCGAAACTGCCGCTCGGCACGTTTCGCCCCGGCCTGAAACGCTCCGCTGCGCCCTTCAGCCCTTTGCGCCAAGGTTGCGAAACTGTTGCGGCTTCACCCCCTTGCGGCTTCAGCCCCACAACTTCTTTCTATATAGGGTTTCAAAACTGCCGTTCGGCACGTTTCGCCCCGGCCTAAAACGCTCCGCTGCGCCCTTCAGCCCTTTGCGCCAAGGTTGCGAAACTGTTGCGGCTTCAGCCCCTTGCAGCTTCAGCCCCACAACTTCTTTCTATAGGGTTTCGAAACTGCCGTTCGGCCCGTTTCGCCCCGGCCTGAAACGCTCCGCTGCGCCCTTCAGCCCTTTGCGCCAAGGTTGCGAAATGTTGCGGCTTCAGCCCCTTGCAGCTTCAGCCCCACCTTCTTTCTATAGGGTTTCGAAACTGCCGTTCGGCACGTTTCGCCCCGGCCTGAAACGCTCCGCTGCGCCCTTCAGCCCTTTGCGCCAAGGTTGCGACACTGTTGCGGCTTCAGCCCCTTGCAGCTTCAGCCCCAAAACTCCTTTATATAAGGTTTCGAAACTGCCGTTCGGCACGTTTCGCCCCGGCCTGAAACGCTCCGTTGCGCCCTTCAGCCCTTTTGCGCCAAGGTTGCGAAACTGTTGCGGCCCCTTGCAGCTTCAGCCCCAAAACTTCTTTCTATAGGGTTTCGAAACTGCCGTTCGGCACGTTTCGCCCCGGCTTGAAACGCTCCGCTGCGCCTTCAGCCCTTTGCGCCAAGGATGCGAAACTGTTGCGGCTTCAGCCCCTTGCTTCAGCCCCGAAACTTCTTTCTATACTTTGGAGCTGCCGGGGAACTTAGGAACTTAGCTGGCACTTAGCTGGCACTTAGGTTACTTAGGTTTGAAGGCTTGCTAAGTGGCCGCTAAGTGGCCGCTAAGTGAGCTAAGTGATTTGCATTGTTTTTTTTCAAGTTTAGGTGGTGTCCTTTTTTTTGTAGATTTGGAGGTTTTTTTTGGGTTAGTCGGCATGAAATGTTGCTGAAACGACTTCACTCCGTTGCGCCCTTCAGCCCATTTTTGCGCTGTTTGCGGCGCTTCACGGCCCCCTGCGCAGCTTCAGCCCCAAAAAATACTTAGGGTTTCTGGGTTTCGTTCGGCACGTTTCGCTTCCGGCTTTTTCGCCCTCCCCTGTGCAAAGCCGCTTTGCGCCAAGGCCCGAAACTGTTGCCCTTTGCGCCTCAGCCCTGCGACACCCCGAAACGGCTCAGCCCCTGCTTAGCTTCAGCCACCAAACCACTTATGCTTCCTTTAGCGTTTCGAAACTGCCGTTCGGCACGTTTCGCCCCGGCCTGAAACGCTCCGCTGCGCCCTTCAGCCCTTTGCGCCAGGTTGCGAAACTGTTGCGGCTTCAGCCCCTTGCATCTTCAGCCCCAAACTTCTTTCTATAGGGTTTCGAAACTGCCGTTCGGCACGTTTCGCCCCGGCCTGAAACGCTCCGCTGCACCCTTCAGCCCTTTGAGCCGAGGTTTGTTGCGGCTTCAGCCCCTTGCATCTTCAGCCCCAAACTTCTTTCTATAGGGTTTCGAAACTGCCGTTCGGCACGTTTCGCCCCGGCCTGAAACGCTCCGCTGCACCCTTCAGCCCTTTGCGCCAAGGTTGCGAAACTGTTGCGGCTTCAGCCCCTTGCAGCTTCAGCCCCACAACTTCTTTCTATAGGGTTTCGAAACTGCCGTTCGGCACGTTTCGCCCCGGCCTGAAACGCTCCGCTGCGCCCTTCAGCCCTTTGAGCCAAGGTTGCGAACTGTTGCGGCTTCAGCCTTCAGCTTCAGCCCCACAACTTCTTTCTATAGGGTTTCGAAACTGCCGTTCGGCACGTTTCGCCCCGGCCTGAAACGCTCCGCTGCGCCCTTCAGCCCTTTGAGCCAAGGTTGCGAAACTGTTGCGGCTTCAGCCCCTTGCAGCTTCAGCCCCAAACTTCTTTCTAGGGTTTCGAAACTGCCGTTCGGCACGTTTCGCCCCGGCCTGAAACGCTCCGCTGCGCCCTTCAGCCCTTTGCACCAAGGTTGCGAAACTGTTGCAGCTTCAGCCCCTTGCATCTTCAGCCCCAAGACTTCTTTCTATAGGGTTTCGAAACTGCTGTTTGGCACGTTTCGCCCCGGCCTGTCTCATTGGTGTCATGTATCTATTCGTTTCTTTCCTGCCCATTCCCACAACCAACTGCTGCCTCCAGGATGAGTGCCAGCGCACGATCAAGAAGCGGATTGTCGAGGAGACGGGCAAAAAGGGGGTCGGCGGCACCAGGGCGTTAGCCCGTTTATAATTTATAGAAAAAAACATAAAGTAAATTAAGTAGATATACCGATATACCAAACTAAATACCATGATTATCATCTACCAAATAATACGTGATGATATTAACTGATATACCATGATAATACCATATCAACTGAATTCTTTGGCAGCAATTTTGCGTCTCGGAAACTGACCAATGATCGCATCGGGGCTGGGATAACTTGTGACATGCCGTATGGCACGCAAGCTTTCCAAGGAAATAAGGGGTTCACCGGCTTCCTGCAAGAGGGCTTGAACATGGTTGAAGCGGTTCTGGTCCAACAACCCAATTGGGGCCCCAATTAGTTTATGGCCACGAAGGACGAAGAAATGGGAAGCAGGAGGTTCTAAAGTATATGGATGGAATATGGAATTATGATGAATTATGATGAATTATGATGAATTATGATGAATTATGATGAATTATGGCTCTAAGATGCTGTAAGTCTCTCTAAGTCCTATGGATGGGCGCCGATGGCCACAAAGACTAGGGGATCCAGGCGGTGGTAGCACAGCGACAAAGAGATCATCTGATCCCGAATGGTACTCCAATATGGGACTTGCGGTCCAAGGTACCAGGACGACCAGGGAAACCAAGCTGACCTGTCTGAAAATGTGCTACCCCAAATTCCACAGGAACAAAACTTCAGTTCATACATGTTCCACCACAAAAATTGCAAAAACGATCAAAAACTTAGCCATTAATACCCTTCCGTAATTCAACATATCTATCGAAAATCCCCTTCTATAGTTGAGTTGATTTACCTCTTAAAAATGGTGATTGTCCAGTTCGCACACTGTTAGTTTACCAGAGGCTACCCCACATCATCGTCGCGTCCTCCACAGTTCCATCCTCGGCGTCAGGCGCATCAAAGGCGACCCTGATGGGGGGCTCCAATGCCTCGTCAAACAAGTTCAAAACCTGAGCCAAACAATGGAGAAAAACGACAAGAAAAATGCATAGTGGTAGCAAAGCAATAATAAACCACCCATATTTTCATGACTTGATCATGACTTGTATGTACCCATTTGTGGCAAAATTGGGGATGGTTTACTATTGATTTACTAACATTCCACCTCCCAGGAACATGATTTGGGTTTGTCTGAAACTACGGTACTCCCCGATGTCCACCGCTAAGTCGCCATTTTGGGTATCCCGAACTTTCACACAAACCCAAATCCTAAGCACCGAAGTGGCCTATTTGGTTTCAAGATTTTTCCAGGTTTGAAAATGAAAATTACTGAAGCAGAAAGTAAAGAGACAAGCTCCTCGATGACAGCACCTCAACGTGATTCGGGGTATCATGGGGGGCACCATGCGGCAAGATTTTTACGCCAACCGGCCAATCCTTAAAGCTCTATACCCACACTAAGGGCTTCGCGCACCCAGCCTAGGATTGATGGTCGTCAACAACCCTTGTTGCTTGTCCTGTGGGTATGTTTGAAAATTGGGCACCCAAAAGCCCATGCGTTCATCATCAGTTTCCCCAAGAAGCGGCCAAATGTTGGGGGGTGTTGGAGGTCCCTCTTTCATTTTCAGACCAACCGATCTGGATTTCAACCGAAAAAAGGCTTAGATGTAGATGGTTTCTCAAATTTAGGATATCCCCGAGACAAGTGGTGTCTGCATCAAAACATGCTTTGGGGATCAGAAACCCTTGTGGAAACCTCTGCCAGAAGTGTCCCAGCAACGGTCTTCCTCGAACGTGCATTTGGCATTTCGAAGGTCGAAGGCCGACATCTGATCCAACATGCGTTTGTGCCCTTGCAGCTTGTGCAAACAGAAAGCCGCGTAGAGGAAACCTGGGCTGGGAATTGCACGGGTTTTTAGACTCCTATTTTAGATCCTGAAAATGGATGGTGAAATATTATACACGAATAGCCAATTGTGGGTCCATTGGTATCAACGAATTCAGCTCACATCAGTCCTGCGTTAGCGATTCTAAGAGTTCCATTCACACGGGAAACTGGTGCTTGCGGAACAGCTGCTTGCGCCAAAAAATAATAACAAAAAGTGATAAATATAGTACTAAAAGATGCAAAAGAGGTGCGGTTCAACTATACTCTATTTTTGATTGGAGCCTACCACTATTTTTGTTAGCATCTTTTTGGGGGCTCCTACTAAAACTCAAAGCGAAGAAGCCGAAGAAAACATAGAGCGACCATCCTGCCTCCTCGGAAGCTGAGAGCAGGGCCACCAAGGTGTCAGCGCAGATCCAGAACAATGTCCTTGGCAGCATGGCCAAGCATGGCCAAACCATGTTTGCAAAGGGAGGAGAATTAAAAATTTGAAGTTGATACACTACTTTTAGTGGTAGTGCATTCTTGGGATGCTGTGTTTACCCCATGCCAGTCTTGCCCAAGCATCCAAAACGGCATCCACAAAGGTACTATTTTTGTTGCCCTGGGCGATGCTGCGGTCTTCACATGGATTGCCAGTTCATAGTTGCCTTAGGCCAGTGGCGTTGGGTTTCAAAAGGCATAGTGGCCAGACAGACGAGTATGGTCTGAAAAATTGAAAATCAATATAAGGACGGCGACTCACTTGCGCACACAAAATTGACTCAGCTGCGCACACAGGATTCTGACTCACTTGCGCACACAAAAGTGTCTCAGTTGTACACATAGAGCCTTCGGGGGATGGGGTGGGGTCGTTAACGTCATTCTCTTTCTTGCTGTCCAGCAGACACAGGCACTGCTCATTCATGATCAGTTACCGGTGGGTTGGGGTGGGGTGCGGTGGGGTAATAACGTTCATGAACCGTTCATGTCCCTGTGCACACACAGGCACAGCAACCTCATCATCTTTCTTGTTGTCCAGCAGACACAGGCACTGCTCACCTTGTCCCATCATCATCATCATCATCAGCAGCAGCAGCATCATCAGCATCAGCACCATCAGCATCATCACCACCACCACCACCATCATCATCATCAGCACCATCAGCATCATCATCATCATCACCATCATCATCATCGGCAGCAGCAGCAGCAACAGCAGGAGCAGCAGCAGCAGCAGCATCATCCGCGTGCACAACTGAGTTGTTTTTCGCGTGCACAACCGAGTCGGTTTTCGCGTGCACAACCGAGGCACCATCCTCAGTATAATCCGATCCCAACGTTCATATTCTGTCCCAAAAATGGTCTCAACTTCACCACTTTACCAGTGCCAGCGCCATACTACTTCAGTCATTTTCCCAAACCCAAAATGTGAATGAAGACATAGAAGAAGCTGCACCATAACCTCTCGAAGTAGGTGTCGTCCCACAACACGAGCATCTTCTTTGATTGCGCCACAAAGCCCGGAATTGCTTGGATCGTCTGGAGCTTCAGACTTGCATTTTGCTGGTCCACGCATATTCGATCAAACCAGAAGCATCGGCTGTCCCAAAGATGTCCCAGGAAATAAACCACCAGGAAGACCAAAAGGGGCCAAGCCATGATCGATGCATTCAGCAACCAGAGAGGCTGCTCAGCAATCCCCGTCAAACTGCCGGCCCGAAGCAAGAGACAAAGAACTGCCAACAGGCACGCGAAGAAAGAGGATGTCAAAGCCATGTCAAAGTTCAAGAACTTGGATTCGGTTTTGGCTAAGTTACTTTCTTCGAGGAATCCCCACCGTAGCACATGTTCTGACATACTATCTGACTGACACTTTATCTCAGACATATTTTGACCGTCTATCTGACAAATATTCAGACATTCTACCTGACATCTTTTCTGACGCACATATACTCTGACCTTTCTCTTGGCAGTCTTTCTGGCATCTTGTCTGGCATTCTATCTGACATCCTATCTTGCATTCTGTCTGACATTTTATCTGACATATCTGGCATTCTATCTGACATTCTATCTGAAACTATCTGACATCCGGACACTTTGTTATGGGACATGTTAATCATATGGCATTCTTTCCGGCATTTGAGCTGGCATTCCACCTGATTTTTTGATCTGACATTCTATGTTGCATTCTATCTGGTCTTCTATTTCCCTTCTATCTCACATTTTCTGACATTGTCTCACATTTTTCCAACATTTCATCTGGCATATTGATGCATATTCTTCCGACTCAGGGAGGTGGTGGACCCTCACCGGCTAATCTGCTTGGAGGTTGAGCCACCCCACAAAAAAAAGGAATCGGGGATGATGCCCCAATTTTGAGGAGACATATCTGAAAAAAATCAGTGATCAGACAGGCGACGTGCGAAATGATCAAGGCTTTCATCCAGGGGGCACAAGACCACGAATGGCTGACAAAGAATTCCACATCGTACACTTGTGGTAAAGACTCGTAGGTTGAGTGTACCTTGTCCTTGCTGCTACAGTTGGCCTACACGCAGCGTTGCGCTGGCAAGAAGTTGAAATATGGGGGATTCAACCTTCGGCTGAATCCCCAATAATAATAAGGGATTGTTAAGGACTTGTTGACCACCCAAAACCACCACTAAGGAGATGAGGACGAGCCGCACCATGGGGGTTGCCAAGTCCTTTCTTTAAATAACATGGTAATCAAAACATCCAAAGCATAGGAAACTTTCATGTCCACATATGAAGCTCTGCGAAATTCTTAACCCGATCCATCTAAAAGTGCTCTTTCAGTGAGCTTTGCCAGTCGTTCTTGCGGCAAAAAATGAAAGGCATCCGTGAGACAAACCCGTCATGCCATGTCTGGCAAGTCACCTTGTCACATGGCGATCTGGAGGATCCCCCATTTATGGACAATGACTTTCCCCAACCGTGGATTTTCCAGCTGTCATCGCCGTGTTTGATGACACCACTTTGGCAAAAATATGCAAAAATGTGTTTCGTCATCAAGTTTAAGGAGTTTTCCAGCAAATTTTTGAATCTCTTCCATTTTTTCCCAAGGGCATCGCCTTTAGTAGGTTGTAGATCACCGTTAACGCAGTTGCAGCTCGAAAAAGGCCATGTTGCTGGGCGAAGGTCACCTTTCTTCGGACCGAATGCATCGCAGATCCCGCACCCGCGATGGCAAAAAGGAGGGCATCCGATGAAGGCGGTCGTCTCAAGCTCAAACAAAAACACATAATTGTATATATTATATACTCTGTGTATTTATATACATGGAGGGGAATCTTTGAATCATCCATCTTAAAATATTTTCCATCATAAACCTATCCATTTTGGGGTACCCCCATTTATGGAAAACTGTGTATATATTTTTTTATACTCACTGTGCAAACGGACATACTTGAAGCCACCAACCATACCAACCTTTGCTATAAGGCATCAACCCCTTGGAGTTGCAAAAATGGCTGCTGCACGGGCACAGAATATACCGAGCTGCCAAAAATGTCCAGTGCTAGTTTTGGAAAAGTGGGCGTATCTGCATGGGTGTATCATTGCTTGTTTTAAGGCTCGGAATTCCAACGCCTTCAACGCATGGTGTCGCTGGCAGGTTACGGATGTTTTCCCGTGCTGGCGGTTTTTTTTGGAGTCCGACATATATTCATGCCCAAGGTCTTTCATGACGATCCTTTCCTACGGAACAGGAGGCACATGAAGAAACACTGAAAGACGTAAGCTGCAACTGCCAAATACATGGAGGACGTCGTGCTGAAAAACAGCATCTTACGAAGAGCAAGCTGTAGGTGATCATTGCACCAGATGATCAATGCACTCACGCATGTTCCTTGGGGCCACCACTTTCATCGGCGGTCAAAAGCGTAATCTGCAAACAAACAATTTACTCTCCACTATACAATGTAAGCTGGCAATGAAAAATCACCGATGTTTAGATGAATTCCCATTCCAAGTATTTCAAAATTGGGATGTTTTCCATTACGATGCTAAATTACCAGAGGGTAGTCAATTGACTGCCATCAGCTGCATTCCTTCAATTCGGGCATTTCACGAACAGCAAGTCTTACATCAGTTGATATCACATCCTTCGGGATAGTAAAGGGTCTTGTATTGTCATCAGGACGACCTACAAGGAGTGAGCTAAGCCAGCTAAGTGTCCAACAACGATTCTTACCAGCAACCATGTTCCATAGGCGCTGGCAACACCACAGCGCAACGCTGCAGCAACCACTTGGTTGGCGCGCCTTGGGGCATTGCAAATTGCGCGACCAAAATGACGCTGCGCATGTACCCACCTTCCATATTCAAAATCATAGCCCAAACAGCTATGGCTAGTGATGTTTCAGCCAAGCTGCAGTAGCAATGGATAAACTATGAGAAGCCCAAAGGGCAACAAGGGCAGCTGGAGCACTGCGTTTGTGATCATATACTGGTAGATTGAAGCATACCCCCCATCTGATGCTGATTTCTCACAGCTAGCACCATCGCAGCTCAGAACGCACATCAAGGATTGAAACCAAATGGGCAACGTTGCAACGATGCACATCTTCGGGGAGATGTAGTCCTCCGTTCCCAGAAATGCAACCAGATTCTGGCGCAGAGGGCCTCTGACATAATCATTGAACCTGGTTTCTGTCAGGGCCCCACAGCAACGATCTCCCCAAATGACTTCCCATGAGGAATCTAACAGGAAAGGATACCCAGCTGAGCTCCCTGAAAACTACCATCGAACCCTATGAATTCTTTGGAAACTGTTATTTGATGTTATGTATAATATATATACGGTTATATATAATTATATATATATTACAGTATACAGTATATGTTTTTCTCGCGGAACTGGCTGTTCCTGGAGCTCTGTTTAAATCAGTCCTGATCTTGACCCGTAGCCATCAAGTCATAGGTATGTTTTTTGCCATGTATTGGTCTAGATATCCGCCGACCCCTGCCTAGCCTTGGCCTAGGCGGGGCGGCGCCTGGGACCACCGTAGGTGTGCAACCTTATTTCGAAACTGCCGCTCGGCACGTTTCGCCCCGGCCTGAAACGCTCCGCTGCGCCCTTCAGCCCTTTGCGCCAAGGTTGCGAAACTGTTGCGGCTTCACCCCCTTGCGGCTTCAGCCCCACAACTTCTTTCTATATAGGGTTTCAAAACTGCCGTTCGGCACGTTTCGCCCCGGCCTAAAACGCTCCGCTGCGCCCTTCAGCCCTTTGCGCCAAGGTTGCGAAACTGTTGCGGCTTCAGCCCCTTGCAGCTTCAGCCCCACAACTTCTTTCTATAGGGTTTCGAAACTGCCGTTCGGCCCGTTTCGCCCCGGCCTGAAACGCTCCGCTGCGCCCTTCAGCCCTTTGCGCCAAGGTTGCGAAATGTTGCGGCTTCAGCCCCTTGCAGCTTCAGCCCCACCTTCTTTCTATAGGGTTTCGAAACTGCCGTTCGGCACGTTTCGCCCCGGCCTGAAACGCTCCGCTGCGCCCTTCAGCCCATGTTGCGGCTTCAGCCCCTTGCAGCTTCAGCCCCAAAACTCCTTTATATAGGGTTTCGAAACCTGCCGTTCGGCACGTTTCGCCCCGGCCTGAAACGCTCCGTTGCGCCCTTCAGCCCTTTTGCGCCAAGGTTGCGAAACTGTTGCGGCCCCTTGCAGCTTCAGCCCCAAAACTTCTTTCTATAGGGTTTCGAAACTGCCGTTCGGCACGTTTCGCCCCGGCTTGAAACGCTCCGCTGCGCCTTCAGCCCTTTGCGCCAAGGATGCGAAACTGTTGCGGCTTCAGCCCCTTGCTTCAGCCCCGAAACTTCTTTCTATAGCGTTTCGAAACTGCCGCTCGGCACGTCTCGACCCCGGCCTGAAACGCTCCGCTGCGCCCTTCAGCCCTTTGCGCCAAAGGTTGCGAAACTGTTGCGGCTTCAGCCCCTTGCGGCTTCAGCCCCACAACTTCTTTATAGGGTTTCGAAACTGCCGTTCGGCACGTTTCGCCCCGGCCTGAAATGCTCCGCTGCGCCCTTCAGCCCTTTGCGCCAAGGTTGCGAACTGTTGCGGCTTCAGCCCCTTGCAGCTTCAGCCCCACAACTTCTTTCTATAGGGTTTCGAAACTGCCGTTCGGCCCGTTTCGCCCCGGCCTGAAACGCTCCGCTGCGCCCTTCAACCCGAGCCAAGGTTGCGACACTGTTGCGGCTTCAGCCCCTTGCAGCTTCAGCCCCACAACTTCTTTCTATAGGGTTTCGAAACTGCCGTTCGGCACGTTTCGCCCCGGCCTAAAACGCTCCGCTGCGCCCTTCAGCCCTTTGCGCCAAGGTTGCGAAACTGTTGCGGCTTCACCCCCTTGCGGCTTCAGCCCCAAAATTTCTTTCTATAGGGTTTCGAAACTGCCGTTCGGCACGTTTCGCCCCGGCCTGAAACGCTCCGCTGCGCCCTTCAGCCCTTTGCGCCAAGGTTGCGAAACTCATGCGACTTCAGCCCTTGCATCTTCAGCCCCGCAACTCCTTTCTATATAGGGTTTCGAAACTGCCGTTCGGCACGTTTCGCCCCGGCTTGAAACGCTCCGCTGCGCCCTTCAGCCCTTTGAGCCGAGGTTGCGAAACTGTTGCGGCTTCAGCCCCATGCATCTTCAGCCCCAAGACTTCTTTCTATAGGGTTTCGAAACTGCCGTTCGGCACATTTCGCCCCGGCCTGAAACGCTCCGCTGCGCCCTTCAGCCCTTTGCGCTAAGCTTGCCAGCAGCTTCAGCCCCAAAACTTCTTTCTATAGGGTTTCGAAACTGCCGTTCGGCACGTTTCGCCCCGGCCTGAAACGCTCCGCTGCGCCCTTCAGCCCTTTGCGCCAAGATTGCGACACTGTTGCGGCTTCAGCCCCTTGCAGCTTCAGCCCCAAAACTTCTTTCTATAGGGTTTCGAAACTGCCGTTCGGCACGTTTCGCCCCGGCTTGAAACGCTCCGCTGCGCCCTTCAGCCCTTTGAGCTAAGCTTGCATAACTGTTGCGGCTTCAGCCCCTTGCAGCTTCAGCCCCACAACTTCTTTCTATAGGGTTTCGAAACTGCCGTTCGGCACGTTTCGCCCCGGCTTGAAACGCTCCGCTGCGCCCTTCAGCCCTTTGAGCCGAGGTTGCGAAACTGTTGCGGCTTCAGCCCCTTGCATCTTCAGCCCCCAAACTTCTTTCTATAGGGTTTCGAAACTGCCGTTCGGCACGTTTCGCCCTGGCCTGAAACGCTCCACTGCACCCTTCAGCCCTTTGCGCCAAGGTTGCGGCTTCAGCCCCTTGCAGCTTCAGCCCCAAAACTTCTTTCTATAGGGTTTCGAAATTGCCGTTCGGCACGTTTCGCCCCGGCCTGAAACGCTCCGCTGCACCCTTCAGCCCTTTGCGCCAAGGTTGCGACACTGTTGCGGCTTCAGCCCCTTGCGGCTTCAGCCCCACAACTTCTTTCTATAGGGTTTCGAAACTGCCGTTCGGCACGTTTCGCCCCGGCCTGAAACGCTCCGCTGCGCCCTTCAGCCCTTTGAGCCAAGCTTGCATAACTGTTGCGGCTTCAGCCCCTTGCAGCTTCAGCCCCACAACTTCTTTCTATAGGGTTTCGAAACTGCCGTTCGGCACGTTTCGCCCCGGCCTGAAACGCTCCGCTGCGCCCTTCAGCCCTTTGCGCCAAGGTTGCGAAACTGTTGCGGCCCCCTGCAGCTTCAGCCCCACTATAGGGTTTCGAAACTGCCTTTCGGCACGTTTCGCCCCGGCCTGAAACGCTCCGCTGCGCCCTTCAGCCCTTTGCACCAAGGTTGCGAAACTGTTGCGGCTTCAGCCCCTTGCTTCTTCAGCCCCAAGACTTCTTTCTATTGGGTTTCGAAACTGCTGTTTGGCACGTTTCGCCCCGGCCTGTCTCATTGGTATCATGTATCTATTGGTTTCTTTCCTGCCCATTCCCACAACCAACTGCTGCCTCCAGGATGAATGCCAGCGCGGATTGTCGAGGAGACGGGCAAAAAGGGGGTCGGCGGCACCAGGGCGTTAGCCCATTTATAATTTAGAAAACTAGACGACGGTTGGCCCGAGAGCGAAAAAGCCGTTTTTCAAGCAGCTCTGAGTATGGTAGTCGTAAAAAATAGTCGGTGATAGGTTGGTGAATTTTATATGAGCTATGGAGGGGTAAGTTGTGAAAAGTAAGATTGATTAAGAAGAGGATACTTGAGAGGGGGAACACGAAAGGTAGGTAAGCAATAAGCAAGAAAGGAACCGAAGAAAAAATGAAGGGGAGAGGGTAGGGAAAAAAAATAAAGTGGAGTCTGGTAAAAGCGACGCGGCCATTTTCTTTCCAAAAATATAAAGGGGAGTCTGGTAAAAGCGACTGAAAGGCTTCGGCGATGTGGTTGGGGTTGGTGGTGGTTGTGGTGTTGGTGGTGCTGGTGGTGTTGGTGTTGTTGGTGTTGTTGGTATTGGTGTTGTTGGTGTTGTTGGTGGTGGTAGTGTTTTTGGTGTTGTTAGTGTTGTTGGTGTGGTTGGGTTT